TCTCCTAAGCCCAAGCTCGCCAGAGGCTAATATCTCCTGAACCCAAGCTCGCCAGAGGCCAATCTCTTTCGAGCCCAAGCTCGTCAGAGCCCAGGCTTACCAGAGCCTAAGTTCTCCTGAGCTAAAAGTTCAAGGTCGCATGATGTCATCAAGTGAATTAATCGACGCTAATTGAAGACATTGAATGATTGAAAATTAATTCACATTCATCATTTGTCAGTTTCAACTCACAAAAAGGTGAATAGTCTCATTGTAATTAAAGAGAGAATAAACTCTCAAATCAATGGGAGAATTAAACTCCCTCAATTCTAATGTACTATAAATTCTCTCAATTTGAGATGAAAAGGGACACACACTCATTTATGAATATAATTGTCTTATGATTGTTTTTATTTGGTTTTTTATTACTTTTTTAAAGGTTAATTACGTTCTTAGAGTGTTCATCCGATTTCCTTAGATTGCTCGTTTATTTAATCTAAATTTCTAGTTTAGGGACGTTAGTAAAGTGTTGGATGAAATTTCGCTCTAACACAATATATTTACATTTACTTCACTCTTGGTCTGACGTCCTCTTCGCTCGGTTCCCGGTGTGTTACTTCACTCTTTTTACTTCCCTTGTAAATTGAAAATAACTCATGAGTTGCACTCGCGCAGCTGTTTCACTACCACTACACCAACACAGCAAATTTAACAAACTTCACAAGCACCGGAATAAATGGAATCTATGGGGGTAACCATATTACGCAAAATAAAACTTGAAGACAATTCCTTAAAGAAACAATAAAGTGTTGAGATTTGTTCTCGATCCTTATAATCTCCTTTGTAATTCTTTCTTAATTTAGGGACACCACAGTTATATGATGAGTGTGAACAAAATAGTTAGGCTTGATTCTAGGACGTGATTCTAAGATAGCTGATTGTATTTTCTACCTATATAGTTATGTACAGACTAAATGAATGAAAAATACAATTTCTCTATGTTTCAAGTTTGTATCATAGAATCTAGATTCTATTGTTCATTCATCGTCTGAGTTAAAAGTTAAAAAAAAAAAAAAAAAAAAAAAAAAAAAAAAAAAAACCAGGAATCAGATTCCTTCTCAAAACCAAAATCAAAAACCCAGAAATCAGATTTCTTTCTCAAACCCAAAATCAAACTAAACCACAAGCCCATGAATAATATATATATATATATATTGATCAGACCCATACCTGTGTGCTCTTCCATTTGGAGCCATCATTAAAATCAAAACCATCCCCGTCGTTGGAAGTTGTCGCTTGCCACCGTCTGAAAATGTCGCGTCCAAACCCACTGCCTTCACTGATTAGACTCGTCGCCCAGACTCGCTGCCTCCACCGATCTGCTCGCCAGATGTCGTCATCACCCGTCACGGCTCTTTGCTTTCCGAGTTGTTTCTGTGTTTCTCAGTGAAAGCCATATGCTTCGTGATTAATCTCAGGAAAACAATATAGTTTGTCTTTTATTGCTTATAAAGTTTACTTTACAAAGTTTGTTCTCACGTTTGTAGTATTATTAATTCTTAAAAAAAATAATTAAAAAAAATGAGTGAAAAAAATCATGAATTGTCTGGGATTAAATCCATTCCGGTTGTAGTTCAGTCCGAGGGAGTCTTTAATGCAGGAATCACCCTTACCGAATCAAACTATGACATATGGTCCCAATTGTTGGAAATGCAAATTGCTGAAAGAGACAAGATCTCCCACATTCGTGGCAAGATAAAGCCTGCAGAATCGGATAAAGGCAATGAGAAATGGTATGCTGAAAATCAAAAGGTCAGAAGATGGCTATTGATGTCGATGTCTCCAGAAATTATGAGGCGTTATTTACGCTTACCCACTGCCTACGAAATTTGGGATGCTTTTTCAAAAGCATTCTATGATGGAACCGATGAATTACAAGTGTTCACTTTGAACCAAAAGGTCTTTACTGCCAAACAACAAAGCAAAACACTCTCTGTTTATTATGGGAAGCTCACTTAAATATTCCAAGAGTTGGACTATCGTGATAAGGTAGTCATGAAGGATCCTGACGATGTCACAGCATACCGAAAATCCATTGAATGATTAAGAGTTCACATATTCCTCGCTAGATTAGATGGGGAGTTTGATCAAATCTGACGAGAGATTTTGCGATGTGACACAACTCCAAACTTGGAGGAGTGTTATTCTTTAATTCGACAATAGAGTGTATGCCTTATCACCTTGAAAGGCGTGTCTGAAACATCTGAAGCTTCTGCCATGGTGGCTCGTAACTAGCCTAACCAGAATCAACAAGACCGAGTACGACCCAACATTGGTAAAACGACCAATGGTATTGACAAGTCCACTTACAAATGCACCCAATGCAATTGGACTGGTCATACCAAAAGTCATTGTTTCGAGCTGGTGGGATATCCAGAATGGTGGGATCATAGCCGGTCTAAGAAAGATCAGAAAAGAACATCCACTGCAGCAGTTGTTGAAACAAAAGAGGATATTGCTGAAAAAGCCTCGGTGTTGGTAATAGCTGCAGATAATGGTGGTAAGGTTTTTAATATTTGTACACCTGTTTTTAATAGTGCATGGATAATTGATTCTAGTGCAACAGATCATATGATATTTGATTCTAGACAGGTCTCACCTCTTAAAACCTCCTTACAAAAGTTTGTTTCTACTGCCAATGGAACCTCGACCCCAGTCTCTAGGGAAGGATCTTTAACTCTCATCGATACCTTAAATTTAGATTCAGTTTTAGTTGTTCCATCTTTAGATTATTTTTTTCAGTTTTCCAAATAACAAAAACCTTATCTTGTATTGTAATCTTTTGGCCTGAATTTTGTGTGTTTAAGGACATTCAAACCAGGAAGATGATTGGTTATGGTACTAGGTGGGGAAAGCTCTATTACTTGGACTTGGTGTCCAAAAGTTCTGACAAATTACAACATGCTCTGACGGTGGATAGCTCTGAGGGGGAGAAAAAACAAAAAAAAAAGGAAATTTGGTTATGGCATCGGCGTATGGGACATGCTTCCTTTAGATATCTAAAAAAGTTGTTTCCTAATTTATTTGTAAAATTTGATGTTTCTAGTTTTTGGTGTGATGTTTGTGAACTGGCAAAAAGCCATTGTGCTTCATTTCCCTTACGTTTAAATAAAAGTCCACTTCCTTTTATGATTATAGATTCTGATGTTTGGGGTCCGTCTAAAGTCACTACTTTGGGAGGATCACATTGGTTTGTAACGTTCATTGATGATTGTACTAGGATGACATGGTTGTGCTTGATGAAATCCAAAGGGGAAGTGAACTTATTATTTCAAAAGTTTCATAAAATGGTTGAAACTCAGCACAACGCAAAGGTTCGAGTTCTTCACAGCGACAACGGTGAAGAATATGAGAGTACTGAATTTCAACAATATTTGGAAGCACAAGGGACAGTCCATCAAACAAAGTGTTCTAACACACCTCAACAGAATGGGATTGCTGAGAGGAAAAATGGACACTTATTGGAAGTTGTTTGAGCTTCATTGATAGATGCCCATATGCCGTTATCCTACTAGGGAGAAGTGCTTGCTTTAGCAGCCTATTTAATCAATCGGGTACCCTCTAGCATTATTGATTTTCAGACACCGTTCCAAACTCTCACAGAAGCAGTTGTTGCCCCAGCCGTACCAAATTTACCTCTTCATGTTTTCGACTGTGTAGTATTTGTACACTTCCATAAGCATCAACGCAACAAGTTAACTCCTCGAACGCTACGATGTGTTTTTGTTGGGTATGCTACTTATCAAAAGGGATATCGGTGTAATCATCCTCCCACACGTCGAATGTTTATTACAATGGATGTTGTTTTTCATGAAGACACAATGTATTTTTCTGAGCTTGAAGTTCAGGGGAAGTACCAGAAGGAAATTCAGACTCTAGATTACAACTTTTTAGAGTATGATTATCCCACTTCTGATAAAGTTGAATCGTCAAAGTCTGGTAACCAGGATGTGAGCAACTTGGATATAAGTGGTATAACAATGGATTATAGTGGTGACAACTCATAACCTGGACCAGTGAACCATGAGATGGGTGAATTGGATTTAAGTGGTATAACGTTGGATCAAAGTAGTGATGAACACCCAGTAACACAAGAAGCAAATTTGCCTAAATCTGAGATTCTCGTTCCACAAACTGAAGATGTGGAGCTGCCTTTGTCCGACGTATCATACCAATCACTTCCTGAAGGTGTTCATGAGCCATATAAACGACAGTTACCACAGCGTCACACCAAAGGTATCCCTAGACCCACATATGAACCTGAGCTATCCAATAAAGTCAAATATCCCATGAGTCATTACATATCTAACCACCATTTGTCAGAATCAAATATGTCATTTGTTAATCAATTGTCTAGTGTATCTATTCCTAACAGTGTGCAGGAAGCTTTAGTCGACCCCAGGTAGAAAGCAGCTATGAATGAAGAGATGAAATCCCTACAAAAGAATGAAACTTGGGAGCTTGTTGATCCTCCACCAGGAAAGAAAACAGTTGGATGTCGGTGGATTTACACTGTGAAGTACAAAGCTGACGACACAATTGAATGCTTTAAAGTGAGGCTAGTAGCGAAGGGATACACTCAAACCTATGGGATCAACTACACAGAGACATTCACACTTGTAGCCAAAATCAACACTGTTCGTGTTCTGTTGTCTCTAGCTGCAAACTTGGATTGGCCATTACAATAGTTTGATGTGAATAATGCTTTTTTGCATGGTGAATTATTTGAAGAAGTCTACATGGATCTCCCACATGGATGCATGAGACACGAGAAGCATAGTCGGAAGGTGTGCAGACTAAAACAATCGTTGTATGGGTTAAAACAATCCCCGATGGCATGGTTTGGAAGGTTCACGAAGTCTATGAAAGCATTTGGCTACCATCAAAGCAATTCAGATCATACTTTATTCCTAAAAAAATAGCAGGCTAAGATCACTACACTCATTGTATATGTGGATGACATGGTGGTTACAGAAAATGATTCTGAAGAAAGAAAGGCCCTGCAGGAGTACTTGTTTAGAGAGTTTGAAATGAAAGATCTAGGTCTTCTGAAATATTTTCTTGGGATTGAAGTATCTCGATCCAATAAAGGAATATTTTTATCCCAAAGGAAATATGTCTTACATCTTTTACAGGAAACCGGAATGTTAGGATGCCAACCAATTGATACACCAGTGGAAGAAGGCCTAAAGCTATATGTGGAGCCCAACCAGGTACTGGCTGATAAAGGAAGATACCAAAGACTTGTTGGGAGATTGGTGTACTTAGCCTATACCAGACCAGATCTAGCTTATGCATTAAGTATTGTCAGTCCGTTTATGCATAATCCCGGAGAGCAACATATGAATGCAGTTATGCGGATTTTGAGGTATCTGAAATCTGCTCCTAAAAAGGGAATTTTGTTTACAAAGAACTCAGATCATCAAAGCATAAAAGCGTATACTGATGCTGACTGGGCTGGTGCCGTGGATGATAGGCGATCTACTTCCGGTTACTTTACCTTTGTAGGTGGTAATCTTGTGACATAGAGAAGCATGAAACAAAATGTTGTTGCTCGCTCAAGTGCAGAAGTTGAGTTCAGAGGTATGGCACTAGGACTTTGTGAGGCATTATGGCTAAGACTAAGGATTTGGGCTATCTATCTAGGCAACTGATTCAACTGTTTTGTGATAATAAAGCGGCATGTGACATTGCTCATAATCCAGTTCAACATGATCGTACAAAATATGTCGAGGCATACAGATTCTTTATCAAGGAGAAGTTAGATGACAAAATCATGGAGTTACCGAAGATTCTATCAGAAGATCAGTTGGCTGATATCCTCACCAAAGCAGTTTCAAGTCGAATGTTCTCAAAGTTTTTGAACAAGTTGGGCATGTGTGACATCTATGCTCCAACTTGAGGGGGAGTGTTGAGATTTGTTCTCGATCCTTGTAATCTATTCTTTCCTAATTTAGAGACACCACAGTTGTATGATGAGTGTGAACAAAATAGTTAGGCTTGATTCTAGGACGTGATTCTAGGATAGCTGATTGTATTTTCTACCTATATAACCATGTACAGACTAATCACAAAGTATGAATGAAAAATACAATTTCTCTATTTTTTAAGTTAAAGTAATAGCAGAGACATTTTTCAAGATAAATAATTGAACAACAATAACAAATCAAAAGTTGGAGAACATAAGAAATGAATGTAATTAAAATTCTACAAAAGACCCCAGCACTTGTACTATAATCTCTCAAATAAATCGCTCTTTCTAAAAAGAAAATTAACAAGAATCATCAATTGCAATTTGCAAAGACTAGAGTACAGCAAAGATTCAATTTAACAAACCTCGACGCCATTACTAGGCCACGAAGAAATTCCACTACACGCGTGAGGCGATGGAGGGAGCAGCGGCCGAGGCGGCGCCACCGAAGAAGGAGAGGAATCCGGCGTTCGCAGGCTCTTGATCGTCGAGAAACAAATCCTCCGGAACTCTAAACGCATCATGAGCGCACGCGATGACGGAAAGAGAGTGAGAGAGAGGCGCAGGTTGCCGGAGTCACTGAGATCGGAGGCGAGAGAACGGTGCGACGTCCTCTTCGCTCAATTCCCGGAGTCGCAACTGTTGGGTTTTAATTGACCATGTGGGCTTATATGTTTATTATAATGTGTTAGAGGCTATCATATTAGGTTGAGCCCATTTAAAGTGATCTGATAAGCTTTTAAGTATTTTAAGCTTTAATGCATCTAATTAAGTGTGGGCATTTTATGTGTAGAGACAAAATCATTATTTCTATTTTTATGATGTGCCAAATTAAAAATAATGAAAATTAATAGACAGTTAACTTATATACGGTTATGGTCCCCAAGTCACACGAACGTTTTCATTATATTTCTGACATCTCATCATCATAGAGAATAGAGAGAATCCAAAGGAAACTCCAAAGGACTACGTGTAGATTTGGAAGACTAACTGCAAGGCTTGTGATTTACTTCCATCATGACTGATTCAAGTATGCTTCCGCTTAGATCATAAATTATTGGTGATACAACATGAATGATCCGGTATTTGGTGAAGATTTTCACCCTAGAGCTATTTTTTAACAACAACGACGTAGGAGAGAGACAGATAATGGAGGCAGAGTGAGTAAGTCTAGAAGAAAATGATCAAGCCCGAAGAAAAAGGGCAAAGTTGGAAAACAACATTTTTATGTTAAATGAAAATTGGAGATGTGCTATAATTTACTACGATTTAAAGAATATGTTATTTACTTCAAACATAGTGATGAAATGTGTTATTTGCTGTATTTTTCTATAACTTAAAAAGCCCAATTGAAGAAAAAAACAACTATACTATCATATAAATTGATAATTTTGAAGACTTTAAACTTTAGAAAGTGAATTTACACTATTTAGATGTTTGATTCATTTGACCCAAAAAAACATATAAAAGGAAAAATATAGGTATACGGTGATTTTTTTTAATAAAATTTTGGTTTAGCCCACGCCCTCCCCTCAAAAAAAGTTCTGGCTCCACCACTAACCTAACAATAGCATGATATGAAAAAAAAAAAAAAAAAAAAAAAAAAAAAAAAAAAAAAAAAAAAAAAAAACTACAAAATATATTTTTAGTGGCATAAATGATAAATTTAAATTGATGACAGAAATAAAAATAGCATTACTTTTTTATGGGATTCTTAAAAATTTCCCAAAGTAAAAACATGAGCATTTCTCAAAATGAACAATTTCATATCAAATGAACTTTTCGATCGTGTTACACTCACTGCATTACCAAGAACGAGATCTTAGGGATGTTAGAGAAGTAAAGGATACGTTTGGAATTGATTTTTACTTATTTTTAAAACGTTTTTGCACGTCTTTTGAGATAAGAAAATGAAAACGGTTTGCAAACCGTATTTGTTTAACAAATTTTTTGAAAACGAAAATAAAAATAAAAAAACAGTAAGAATGGTTTTTGTGAAGAAATTAGAAAACGATTGAAAATCATTTTTCCTTTTATGTTTTCATTTTCTAATACTTATCAATAATATTATAATATATTAATTAATAATTATAAATAAACACGATTTCACCTTTTAATTATACTAAAATAATTTTTTTAAAAACCAACTAAATGCAATTTCAGAATCGATCTTAGAATGATTCTTAAAACAATCTCATTTTTACTTTTGCATTAAAAATAAAATCATTTAAAAACGTTACCAAACAGGCCCGACATGTTCTAGATGCCGCACAAAAATGACCAACACCCCAACTACATTTTGTCTCAGATTTGGTCCTCCCTCTGCTAGAAGTAGCAAATATCGCCCCCACTATCATCTAGGTCTCATAGATGCATCTCTTTTATTTGTCTCCCGCTTCTCTCCAGGACCGGTGCTATGTAGAAAAAGTGTATTGAGGTTCATTTTTCTTCTGAGTTGCAACTAAATATTTTAGGGCATGCTACAGCTTGACGTAGGCAGTTTGAAATTTTGACTCGACCAGGAATTGTGATATTTGAAGTTGGAATGCATAGGTTTGAGTCGCATCCCCACCTTTTCCTTTCGAGTTAGGATTTATTATTATTTTATTATTCTATTTATTATTATCATCTCCTCGAAAAAGATAAAGTAAGTGTGTGCTACCAGAAAAAATGATTTATTATTATTATTATTATTATTTTGTTGTTTTTAAAATAAAAATTACAACAGCTGTGATCGACAACGGAATAAATCAAAGCTTGCGTTGAAACTATATATGTTTCCAAAAAATGAATGAGAATTCAAATAAATAAGCCTCTAAAACGCAAAAAGTTTTGCTTTCAACCCATTTGGTCAAAACGCATGTTTTTTTTTTTTTTTTTTCCCAAGGGGAGAATTGGCCTTTGAAACTAAACGGACGCAAAAGTGGAAAATGTAACAAAGTATGTCTAGTGATTATATAAATTATTTTCATTGTCAATAATGAAAAATATAGCTTTTTAGGGTCAAAGTTGCAATGAAGTGGTTTGTTGATCAACTACTGATTTCTTCGTTGGAATTTTTGGTGCAGAGAGAGAGAGAGAGAATCATAGAAGGCAAGTATAGCGACACTAGTAGTGGCTTGTAGTTGAAGTACTTGTGGACTGAGAGAGACGTTGGGACATTTTCAGTGGGAGACACTGTTCACGTGACAAAATCCAAACGCATGTTCATGATTTTTTTCTTCTTCTTCCTCTTCTTCTTCTCTCTCCTTTTTTTTTTCCTTTGTTAACCTTAAAATAATGTGCATATTTTTTTAATACGCAAAGATGTTCAAACCATCAACAATTTTTAAATGATCTGTATAAAAAAATTTTAAAATGATAAAAATAAGGGCTTCATATGTGTATTTGAAAATAACACGTTAATGACTGATTTGTGTTCAATATTGTAGTATTTGAAAAATATTCTAATACTAATATTAAATTGCAAATAGTATTTGAGATCATCTTGCGAATAAAATAATAAAAGTTATGTCGGTTTTGAAAAACAAGAACATGAAAAAAAAAAAAAAAAAAAAAAAAAAAAAAAAAAAAGCGAAGGAAAGAAAAAGGAAGGGTATTCCAATATTATTTATTTTTTATTTTAAACAATGAACTTGTCTTAAACATCTTGTAGATCGATTAATTTGTTCATGTCCTCCTTATGCAAATGGAGTAGTGCTAATAAGGCCAAATATTGGTCAGTAGAACAAACGAATACCACCATAAACACTTACCAATTCCTTGTTTGTATAAGTTTCTTGTAGCGTTTTTATATTTAGACGGTTGATAAATTGATGATAATGGCATTACTCGTCAGGTTGAAATATTCGTGGCTTTGGCACTACATGTGCATGTAAAACCACAAGTGGTATTTATACATAGTTTGATTCTTGAACGAGCAACGACAATGAGTCTATCACTTATCCAATTTTTTTATTTATTTATTTATTTATTTATTTATTTATTTATTTATTTTTGAAGCGATTGCATTATCTTTCTTTGAGTTATTTACATTGCACGTGTTATACATCAAGCCTTCATTTCTGTGCATGTTCTTTTGTTGTTGTATAAATTTTGTAGCTCTTTCACAAAGAAAAAACACATACCTTAGATCCTTAAAAAGATCTTTAATGCATGAACATACTTGAACCTGGGAATAGCCTACATGGTACATTGAAGAAGTATCTGAGCGCGTCCGTTCGACACATCCACGAATTTATAAGGTACTCCATGTAGTAAGGGCCCAAAAGACTAGTGCTTGGGATGAATTCCAAGAGTTTGGTCCTCAGTAGTGTTTAAAGAATATTACCTCTCCAATCAGCTTCAACTTTTTGGGTGAAACGGTTGCATCGATTCACTCCTACCTCAAGAATAGGAATTTAAATTAAACATACACCGTTATATAAATTGTTTAAGGTCAATAAAAGTTTTCTTACAAGCTTAGAAAGATTTCAATACTGAAATGTATTTCATCACTCTTTGATAAAGTCCTTGCTTTCTAGCTACTCATCTCCGGGTTGTTTCTTGTTTCTGTGT